AACCATGAAGGCTTTAAGTTTGAGGCTACTACCGCCGGCCTCTCATTTCTCCTTATTCTTCAGTAGCATTCATCCAATTTTTCAGCCCCCAGTACCTTCTTTCATACCTCCGCTGTTTCTCTTCCCACCCCCCACCTTCTTCTCTCTCTAAAATCAATAAACATATCCTTTGGTGAAGATTTTTTTTCCATCTGATTTTAACCTTGGTAAAGCAATTAAAAGGTGATTCTCAATAGTTCTCTTATGTGAATCAATTTATCTTTGGAAAGATAAATATTTAAAACTAATGACTACAGAAACTTTCAGTTCTCATCTCTCTACAAACTTACTAAAGGCTTCTTCTCTGTTATCCCTGTGATAGAGAAAATGATCAATATTTTTAATTTCAATCCAAACAGGACAGAATGGTTTGGTATCCTCTTTTACACTTGGAATAAAATTCCTCCCTATCAACAGTTAACATTCTCAGGGCTTAGAATCTTTAGGGTTACTGTGAATAATTATGGAATGAAGAGTTTCATCTCCTACTTGGGGAGGTCAGGCCTCTTATTACAGTGGAAGAGGTGACTTTTCTTGTCCCTAAAAATAACACTTTGTCCCTGAGGTTGGCTTTCATCATTATAAGCTACGTGAAGTCCAGGAGTAAATCAGAAAGGACAGTTGAGCATCTGAGTTAGCCTATTCCTTTCTCATCCTAACAATTCACTTCCCATCCCTCTGCTCCAAGACTCCCAGATGCCAAGGGGTGTGAATCTGCTCTCCCAGTAACAATGCCTATGTCAATGCCTTGATCTGGACTTTCATCCCCTCTATCTACTACCCCTCATCATCATTGTGAGCTATGCTAGTTGAGCTGCTGAAGAGAGGGTGGAGAACCAGTAGCAGAAATAGGTGACAAAGGATATGCAGAAGGAATGGCAGGATGGGAGGGGATTACAAAAAGAATCTCAGCTCCCATCATGTTAGGTTAAAAGCAAGTGAAACTCCAATAAATAATAAAGAGCTCATCTTTTATGTGTAACAGGAATACAATTGTGTCCATCAGGTTAAAGATGATAATCACACATGGAGGAAAAGTCAACACACTTTCTAGAAAACCAGTAATAAAGTAAAACGAGTTAAACTAAACTTGACCACAGGAGTTTTGCATCAGATATGAGGCTGGACTTGAGCTTGAAGATGGATTCCTTCACAGATTCTTCCTATGTGGTATTAAGGGGAACCAGTATCTGCTTTAGCAGGTGCTTTGATATTAAAGGAGCATATGATACATAGGTAAGACAACTAAAAGGTAAAAACCCCAAAGGAGAACCCTTAATATGTGGAGACACTAACCTAGACACAAAAGGCCAGTGATTCAGTGCCAAGGTAGCAGTCTGCTTCACACAGGCCTACCTGCCTTGTTGTCTATGTTATTTGGACAAGAGATCCCTACTCCTGGCCCCAATCTCAGTGTTGGCTTCCTCTCTCCCCCTTTAAAAGTGGAAAACAGCCCTGGCTGGGGTGGCTCAGTGGATTGAGCACCAGCCCGAGAACCAAAGGGTCGCTGGTTTGATTCCCAGTCAGGGCACATGCTTGGGTTGCAGGCCAGGTCCTCAGTAGGGGATGCGGGAGAGGCAACCACTCTCCCTCCCTTCCCCTCTTGCTAAAAATAAATAAATAAAAATTAAAAAAAAATGAAGGCCACCCACTTAAGGTTTCAGAGACAGGCACTGAACTATTATCTGACTCCTTGGAGACAAATGTGAAGACTTCCTATAATTCCTCATAAATGAGGTTATTACACAGTTTTTCTTTTTCTGTAAAGGCATGTTCATGAGAAAAAAACTTCAAGGTCACTTTACAACTGTTGAAAGCAATAAATAACTCATTTAATGTTGTAAGACAATACATAGCTTTTTCATTATACTGTTAGTTCTTTGGTTACCCTGAGTAATTCAAGAAATCAAAATTGTTGAATAAACAAGTGATACCAAATCCTATTGATGGACAAACAGAAGGGGGAGCAGGGGCTGGGTGGAGGTGGGCAAGGGGGAAGAAAATGGGGACATCTGTAGTGATAGTGTCAACAATAAAAATAAAGTTAAAAAAATCCTGCAACAAGATATACAAAAAATGCAAAAAGAAAGAATTAAAGTGTGACTATTACTGGTTTTAAATACTGTAACATTTTATTTTTTAAATCAGTATTATATAAAATAAGTAAACAAGAATATTCTATTAACCAGACTTTCCAGTGGAAGCTTGACAAATACTTTGCAAAATCTGCTTTTAGCCCTGTGTGGGTGGCTTGTGAGATAAATAATCAATGTTTCTTTCTCACATTGTTGTTTTTCTTCCCACCCCCTACTTCCTCTCTCTCTAAAATCAATAAACATACCCTTTGGTGAAGATTTTTAAAAATCTGATTTTAACCTTTGTAAAGCAATTAAAAGGTGATTCTCAATAGTTCTGTTATGTGAATCAATTTATCTTTGGAAAGATAAATATTTAAAACTAATGAGTACAGAGGCTTTCAGTTCTCATCTCCTTACAAACTTACTGAAGGCTTCTTTCTCTATTATCCCCATGATAGAGAAAATGTCCAGTATTTTTAATTTCAAGAAAATCAGTGGTGCTTTGTTTCTTCAGTTAAAGTAAATGTCATGATTATATTTGGGCAATTTATTAATGAGTTCCATATAAACTCATTAACTTTCATGTAATTTACTTTGCAATTCAGTTAATTATTAAATTATTTCTTGTCATAAAAACCATAAAAACAAAACATAAGCAGGTAACAAGAGATTCATCTGGGTTATCTTATCCATATTCAGATGTCTAGTCAGTTTCATATCTGTGAGGGACTACTTCCTGAATTCATCCAAATACCGTAACAGACATTTTATTGCTGGCACTGCCATCCGAACTGCTGAACAAGCACACACAAAAAGGTACCATTAATGAGAAGCAAGTTAGTTATCAGTGATAGCATAAATTATCAATTCACTCACCCAACAAATAGTGTCAAGCACTCTGCTAAATGCTGGAAATATAATGATTAGTAAAATAATTCCTGCTCCCATAAACCTTACTGCATGTTAAGGGGGAACAAAAATATCAAGCAATCATATTATGGAATATAATTACAAAGTGAGACAAAGGTTATAATAGAAAAAAAACACAGTGTAGTAAAGTAAAAGGATCTGATCTAGATTGATACTGGGCATCAGAGAAGGCTACCCTGAAGAAATGATGCTCGAGCTGAGATCTGCAGAACTGGGGTATGTGAGGATTTCAGGCCTGGGGTTAAGGTAAGCCACAGTGTCAAGAAAGTTGACGGCAGGCCAGTATGTTTAGAGAACAGAGGGCTAGGCTACAGGGATAAGAAAATGATGGAACGTCTTAGAAAGTTTTAAAATAGAGCAGGAAAAGAAAGGTCCTCCACAATTACACTGGTTCTAGTGGGGCTTGAACAATGTAATGCTTGTAAAAAGAGTTTTGTAAAGTACCCCATACATTTTGTTAGTACTATTAGTTCCACTACTTTGTTTTCTAAATAAATTTTTGGTTTGGGTGCCAACTAATAACCAAAAGCAGAAGAGCCAAAACTAGAACCCCAGTGTTCTAATCCAGTGTTTTGCCCTTATATCACCTGCCTGAAAATTTCATTGTTTATATCTTTTAACTAGTCCAGTATGTCTATCAGACAGCTAGTGCTTCATAACGACAACTCTAATTACGAGTATTTACTACGTGCAAGGCACTTTTCTTTTTCTTCAAATCCTCACCTGAGGACATTTTCATTTGCTTTTTTTTTGGGGGGGGGCGGGGAAGGGAGAGAGAATCAATGTGAAAGAAGCCTCCACTGGTTGCCTTTGCACACACTCAGACCAGGGATCCCCACCAGGACTGGGGGTGGGTGGGGTTGCAGGCACCTGTGCCCACACCAGGGATGAACCCACAACCTGGGTATGTGCCGTGACCAGGAATCGAACCCACAACCTTTCGGTTAGGAAATGATGCCCCAACCACAATGACCAGTGCGCAAGGCACTTTCCTAAGCTCTCTGATTAATCAATTCTAGAACGAATGTTCTATTGTACAGATGAAGAAACTAAGCCTCAAAAAAGTTAAGTAACTTGACCTGTGTCATGCAGCTAGTAAATGTTTGGCACCATTAACCAACACACTAATTAGCTTTTGCATATAACTTTTTATCTGTGCACATATATGTGTACATGTATATATGAGGGACTGACCAAGAGAAAATAGAACTTGGAGTATAGAACCACATTCACATATACTTGAGGATACAGAACAGTGTCTTAGTCATCTCTGTATTCCCAGTCTTGCACCTAGTTCCTGGGGTATTCATGAGGCTCAGCAAATGCTTGCTCAAGATGGATGGATATAAGGGGCTGACAAAGGATTTGAATCTTGAAGTGATTTTCTGAGACTACCCCTCCCCAAGTCATATATTCATCAGCAATTCATTTGATAACAATAAAAAAGAAATTCAAGGGAAATACAGCTAAGTTGAAGATTGAGTCTCTATTACCTTTGTCATATTTCACAGACTTTAGCCTGGAGATGATGGCATGAGATAATGGAAAGAACAATGAACTTGTCCCAACCACTTTCCAGGCTACAACTCTTTGTTACTGTCCTGTTCTCAATCACATCAAATGATTTTCCTCTAGGGCCTTTATACCTGTGGTTCTCTCTCTGACTATTCATTCGGTCTTTGGGTTCCTCGTTCAAACACCACCTCCTTATAGAGTTCTTCTCTAACCACCCAATGTAAATTTGTCTCCTCATGTCTTCTTCAATACATTATCCAGTTTCACTTAATTTCTTCCTCAGAATTTACCATTGTCTGAAATCATCTCTTTGTCTATTCATCTCCACCTCCCAATTCTAGGAGGGCAGAGGCCTTGTCTTGCTGATTCTCTGGATGTATACCCAGTGCCCCAAGCTAAGCAAATAAGCATTTACTCAAGGAAAAAGAAGAGAATTACCTGATTCACCTGTGTTCTCTCAAGCCCTCAATACACTTAAACTTTCCACTCCTGGTGCTTCTACATCCGATTTTCAACAGTAACACCATTTTTACATTACTCTGGAGTTCATAAAGTAGCCTGGACGCCATTTTCTGAGTAGAGTTCCTCAGCGATCCTGAGAAGGGAGGTCCAGCCTGGCAAAAACGCCCATTCTCACCATTTTACAAACTTTGAAATTGAGCCTCAGAGGATTCGCCCGCGGCTACGACGGAAATAACGGGAAAGAGACCTGAAAGGTGTCCAGATCCTGAAACCTCTTTCCCACGAGTCAGCGTCGTTGATTCAAGATGCTTTGCCACCTTTATTACTATTGTTCTATATCACCCATTTTGGACGCGTTCCAGACTGGGGGAAGCTGCCTGGCCCCTCACCAGGTCCATGTGCAACCCAAACTCTTCCTCCTGGACCGCGCCCCCGAGCCTCACTCCGCGCCCTAGACTCTGCTCCCACCCGACTAAGACTCAACCTCCCCGCGGGAACAGCCCTCTCTTGCCCGAGCCAATCAGCAGAGCCTCAGGGGCGGGACCGAGGGCCCCGGCCCTCCTGTCTGGATACCAATTGGTCAGCAAAGCCGTCGCTCACAAGGTCGCACTCTGTACCCGCCTTCCACCCTCCCCTTCAGGAAAATCGGCGGTTGGGCCTCGGCGGCCAACGGCACTCGAGGAGCGCAGGGGCGAGCAGCCGGGGAGTGAGGGAAGAAGGAACTGCAAGGAGGAGGAGGCTGACGAAGAGGGAAGCTCAGCCCAGGCAGAGCCCTCTCCATCGAGAACAAAATGGCGGCGCTGGCGAAGGGCCAACTGTGAGGCGGGGCTGCGGCCATCCCCCCCCCGCCCCCACCCTCGCGCCGGCCGGGCCGGTCAGGGGGAGCCCGCTCGCTGCTCCCGGCGCGGGCGGGAATGGGAGGGGAGCGGCCCGGCCCACTATGCAAAGCGTCCGGCGCCGCCGCCCCGTGGCAAAGGTAAAAGGGTCGAGTTCAGCTGCCGCCACGGTGCCTCCATGTCCGCGCGCCAGGCCCGCCCCCTCTGCCGCTAGGCCGACCCCGCCCCGGCCCTTTTTCAATTTTACCTCAGGATTTGGCGCCAAAGCAGCCTCGAAGCAGGTCCCGTGTCTGCGGCGGGCGGCCCCCGGCGCGGAGGGCAGGGCGCGGGAGGCCGGGCTCCCGGCGTTGGCGGATGGCGGGAGCCCCGGGGCCGCAGACTTGCGGGGCAGCGGACGAGAGAAGAGACGCCGAGGTGGAAGCGGGGGCGGGCCCGGGGGCGCCGCAGGGGTCGCGGGGAAAGGGGGGTTTGTTATTGTTTTTGTCAGTGAAAGGTCAGAGTTCGTGACCCCAGTGCCGCTGCCGCCGCCGCCCGCGCGCTGGTAGGAGGAGGGCGAATGTTCTTCTTCCTCTTTCCAGCGCCAGCCTCGCCGCGGTCGTGGGGGGCGGGCGAGCACCCGATTGGCTGAGCCACGCGCGCTTACCGGAACGCCGCGGCTGTCGCTGCTTCCTCCGGCCCCTAGCGCGCCAGCCGGCTGGTGCCGGGGCTGACGCCAACGCCGCGGTGTGCACTGTCCGTCCTGGAAATCTCGAACCCATACTCGTTCGGCGCGACCATTAGACGAAAGTAGAATTTAAATAGCGTGGCCACCAGTGTTCTCAGGGTAAAGGGAGAACTGGTCGTTTTAAAAAACCTAGGAACTCGGGGCACCGTTATTCCGGTGCAAGCCTGCCCCTCCCGGGGGATCGCGAGCCTAGAGGTTAGGGCGGGGACTGTTCTCGCTTGGACTCTCTCTACCAAGGCCTCCCGCAGAGCTGAAGCCTCTGTGTTTCTTGGTTGAAGAAGCAGTCACAGCAGAGAGCCTGTAGGTCGATCAGATCGGAAGAGAGTGGTTTATTGGGTGGTTATTAGACTGTTGGGCCCTTCTCTGAACAGCTGGGTTTTTATATAGGTTTTAAAGGTCCGAGGATGCGCCAGCTTCTGGTAGTATCAGGTAAAGTGTTGAAACATTCCAAAAACCTATTACTTAAAAAAATTTAAAAATTGACTTTAGAGAGAGGAAGGGAGAGGGAGAAAAAAGGCCAATTTGTTGTTCCACTTATGTATTCATTGGTTTTCTCTTGTGTGTGCCGTGTCGGGGGATGAAATATACAACCTTGGTGCATTGGGATGATCTATCAACAGAGCTACCAGCCCAGGGCCCAAAACTATTATTTATGGTCGCTTAGGGAACATGTCCAAATGTTATGACCATGCCTCTTCCCCTCGCAATTTGGAACTAGTAAACAATGATATAAAAGTATATATAAAGCAACTTTTTGCAAAATTGCTTAAATATGTAAAGAAAATTGCTTTTCTTGACCTTGTGACTCTTGGGAATTGTAGGTTTTCCTTAGATATTTCTTCTAAGTTATGTATGGTTTGACTTGCTTTGGAGGGTACAGACAACTTATTTATCCTAGATGCCCTGAAGTGTTTAGGCTGGACTCTCCATCGTCATTCTCTTTGTAGACCAAAGATCCTTTGCTAATTGATTTTTCCCTCTGCACTTGTTTATTATGAATGAGTGTTGTCTCCAGGATGGATAGGTCAGTCTTTTTTCTTAAACACCTATTTTGGCTTTTATCAGGGTGACCCCAAGCTTGAGTATTTTGCCCTTATTTTTACATTTTGGTTTGATAGGAGATGCTTTAAACATTGATTTTCCCTTCTTGTTCTCACCATGCAAGGAAGTGGGGAAAACAGTTAAATTTGGTAATGTCATGGTGAACCACACACATCCGGAAGCTGGAAGGAGCCTCGAGATGATATGGTCAAATTCTCTTCTGGCAGGGAGATTTTTACAGGAGAGATGGGTAAGAACAAACTCGTGTGATAATGGTACATGCTTGTAAACATGAACTACTTTGCAATTGTGGATTCTTTTTCAGAAATTAAGTTTTTAATGTCAACTATTGCTACTAGATATAGTGTAAAAATTCACATATCATTGAATTTTGGGGTTTTTTGGCAAACATTACAATTGTACTAGATTTTGAAATGAGTACTAAACAATAACTAATGTTTCTATGATGGCTTATAGTTTTTAAAATTTTCTTCATACAACACTCAGCAACTCTGTGAAAAAGGCACTGTCATTTCCATTTTAATGAGGTGCAGGAACTGAGGCTTAGGCCAGATAGGTTAGGCAGCCTGCCCGATACCCAAATGCTACAGGTGCAGTAAGTGAAGCCAGGGCTCTGGTCTAGTTTGACATTAAGGTTTACATTATAAACTATTCTGCATCAGTTTGCCCTATTTATAATAGTTCCAGTAAATTTTCAATTAAAGGTTAATTGTTTAATGTTGAAAGTAGTAGCAAGGGTTCATAATCTGGACCTGCTTGAGCAGTTTTTCTTCCCCTCAAAACAGATGTACATGTCAACACAGATTGCAAATAATATCAGCAGGTTACAAGCCCCTGCAGCTGAGGTCAGCACTCCCATAGTGTCATATTTTTCTCTACTGTGTTTTCGCTAGAAATCTTCCTAGTGAGCACCCTTTAAGTGGCTTTGTAACATTTAATGGATTTAAAGATCACACACAAAAAATCAAGTTGTATTATACTAGCTGTATTTTTTTTTACACTGTTTATTAACAAGTATCTACATTTAGCCTTGCCTCGTGTGGCTCAGTGGATTGATTGAGCATGGTCCTGTGAACCAAAGGGTTGCTGGTTCCATTCTCAGTCAAGACATGCCTGGGTTGTGGGCCAGATCCCCAGTAGGGGGTGCGCTTGAGGCAACTACACATTGATGTTTCTCTTCATCTCTTTCTCCCTTCCTTTCCTTTTCTCTAAATATAAAAAAATAATAAATAATTTGCAAAGGGTTCTTGACTAGGGAACTGCCAGGTCCCCAGGGGTTCTGAGGCAGTAAGCTTTGGGTGGGGCGTAGCATCAGCACTTCTACTGAGCCCAAACCACTGATCTAATTTCAGAAATATTAATTGGCAAAAAAAAAAAAACCCCCAAAAAACGTTTTAAAACAAATTTTTAGCCCTGGTCAAGTAGCTCAGTTGTTTGGAGTGCTGGTTTGCACACCAGAAGTTTGCAGGGTTCAATCCCCTGTTGGAGTGTGAATGGGAGGTAACTGATTGATGTTTCTCTTTCACATTGATGTTTTTTCTCTCTTCCCCCTTCCTCTCCTTCTAAAAGTCAATTTTAAAACATAAAAACACTTTTAAACTTCCTAAAATTGTTATTAGCCTTATTTTTTTAAGAATGTGGACTCTGAACAGACGTAATTGCAGAATACCAAATCGCACTTTCCATGCACTTACATACTGTCTTGTTTAATCTTCACAATAATTATCTTGTTTTTATAACTGAAAAGGCTGAGACCTTAAACAGAGGGAGAATGACTTCTCCAAAGTCATATGGCTAGTAAGTGGTGGGACATTTAGTAGTTATTTCTGTTTATTTCTTCTCTTCTATCCTTGGGGACTTTGAGAGGAAGAAAACCCTCTTCTCCCCATCTCCGTGATTCTGTCAAAGTCACGCTCTGTCACAGTAGAAGTCTACTTGGAGAGGTCTTAAACTTCTATAAAAATGGCCCTTGCTATTCCCAGGAAGAGAAAAGAGACCAACCAACCCTGTGGTGAACTGGTCATAAGGGAGGAGGGACACACTTGAACTCGGGGAGTGGAAGTGTAAGTCCCAGAGCCCCATCCAGCATGACTCTTACTGAGAATCATTCCTTTCCTTTTTGACCTGGAGTTTCCTGGGCCTTAAAAAGGTGTTGTTTCCAAGTTGTACTTGGTTCAAGTATCTTGCAACATGATGTAAAATTAGATTACTTTCTCAAAAAAAAAAATGCAACTCCTGGTTTAGGACATGGATTGCTCAGAAGAATAGTTTTGTTTGGGCTTTTTAATGTTTTATTTATTTTTTAAAAAGAGCCATTTCTTTATGACGCAAAATGCAAGTGAGTCACTTGAGTTCTTGCTACTTAGGCCAAATTTTACCATGTTTCAAAGTATCCACTTGGAACATACTGCCAAGTAAATGAAGATCTAACAGATGGCATTTACTGTTTTGCTTTATAACAAAAAAGGATCTGTGATCATTTCTAGGGAAGATTATATGATGGCTGAAGGGAATGGCTCCTCTGATGAGGGGCAGATCAGCAAAGAATGTTTTTGTTTTTTAAAGGTCATCTAATTAGGAACTCAGTCTTGAGGCTTGGTAATTCTTTACTAGCCCAGGACCACCTCAAGAGGTAACCCACTTAGGACTGCTCACAAAATCTAAAAGTTAAAGAGTAGCATTCCTTGAGTTTCTTAACAAAGTGATCATTTCAGCACCACATCCTATTCACTACTGGTCAGGACATGCACCTTGAAGCCAAAGGTTCCTTGGAAAGCCTTTTCTACACTTTGCTTTGTATCCTCCCCTTCACCTTGGGGAGAGATGAGGTGCTACCCTGTGGC